TTCTTAATTGACCTTTTTACCTTGTACACTCAGAATTACATGTTGCATATTCATCTGCTGCAGCTCGGTAACCTTTCACAACCTGTATCACTGATGTTGTAATAAATCATGACAGGGGTCAAAACAATGTCACGGCACATTTCCAGACAATACATTGCTCATCATGTGTCTGTACACATCTCTGGCTTGACACTTCTCTTATACTTGGATCATGACAGTTCTTAGACAGTAATTGATTTAGAAGAGAATTTAAAGCCACCTTAAGGGATAAATCAACTTGCAACTGCCTTTTGATTTAGAGTTATCTTTCATTCTGGCATTTCTCCAAATTTCCAATTCAATGAGTGTTTTAATCTTCATTTTTCGATTAAGATACAGTTCTTAAAGATGTAGCAAAATTTCAGGCTGGTTTGGCAGAAACGTTTTGGCCCTCATCAACTTCTACATTCCTAGCTGGCTGTGAGAAGAGTGAGGGAGGCAGGGAGGGAGGCCAGTATTTGTTTTACTTTGCCGCTGTGTTTTCACCCTCCTTTTTTCATAGAAATGCACCCTGGGTTCTTTTTGTGAATCACCCAGCAACAGACACATCACTTTGTCTCCGTCTTTTCACTGCGAGCGGAAACGTCGCACCGAGGCTCTTCTGGAGAGGCCTAGCAGCGTCCTACCTGACTGACTTACCAATGAAGAGCCAGACACATTCTATGGGCCTGCAGTGTTACACATAACTGGTCCTGACAACAGTCCCTCCCTCTCCCCACCACCCGAAAAGAACAGAGGCTTTTAGGATTAATAGACATGAAAAGCTTCAGCACAGGGCTCTGTCTGTTTGTTTGTCAGTGTGTCTTTCTGTTTACTTCTACGTCTTTATCTATCTTTCCTATGGCCAAACACATACATTGATTTCCATAAGCTCTGAACTGCTAAGCCAACATACAAAAATGTTAGTTTAAACTAGGTTTTTGTGATGCTAATGTACACTTTACATTGATTGGCAAGCACTGAAACTGACTTGGAAAGTGACTGCAGATGATGCATGCACTTCACACAGGTTCAGAGCTCACACGGTCATCTAGTGTGATAATACCATGACAATGTAAAGTTATGCAATTATGTTGATGGAGAGACAGAACATTTTTGTCAGGTTCTGACCCAGTGGAGCATCTTATGGGTTTGCAAAAGCTGTTATTTACACACTGAAAACTCCTGGGTTATTTCTTCAACACATTTTCTGGGTTATTTGTGTTGGGTTAAAATTATGGGTAATTTTTTCAGAGAGTAACCATTTTCTGGGTTATAGGGCTAATATTTTGACTCAATTCCTGGGTTGTTTGGGTTTCTGGGTTATTTTTCAAAGAGTAACCCATGTTCTGGGTTATAGGGTTGGCTTTCTCTCTCTCAAATTCAAATTCTAATTAACTTTATTGGCATGAATGTATAGCAACCACCCCGCAGTTGTTCTGGAATTTGCTCACAACAGTCATTTGAAATAACCGTCGCTTTGCGCACGATCCGTTTTGGCCTGTGCTTCGTCGGTGCAACTTCATCGTGTATTCAAGGTAAGCAAGTATTTTCAGTGTTGATGTAACGTAAACTTTTCTGTTTCCATGTCCCCGCTAGTTGCTATGTTGAGACTAGCGTTAGCCGTTGTAATTCTGTGGTTGCCATGTACATCTAACTAGTTTAAAGTCTGTGTAAAATCACACATGACATGACACAACCATTGTTTGAAGACTTTAAGCCTTAAGTTCAATCTAGTTATTGAATGTTGTCGAATGTTTGAGAGTTGTTTATTTTTAAATTTTTTATATAGAGTTTAATTAAAATTTAATGCAATAAAAATGTAAAAGTGCTCGAAGTGTATAATATTGTCACAGTCACCCCTAATCACATGTTCCTTTGTTCTGTTTTCCAGCCACTCATCTGTTTCCATGGTTTCTGTCATTTAGTTTATCTGCATCACCTGTGTTTAGTTAATTACCATCATCATCATCGTCATCATCTGTTCCACCTGTGTTCTGTTAATCAATGTTCATCTGTGTTAGTATTTAGTTCTTTTAGTTCAGTCAGTCTTTGGTCGTTTTACTTTGTAGTCTTGTTTAGTGTGTGTGTACATCCTGCCTGTCTGTACCTTTTGGAGTTACTTTATTAGTAAAACATTTGAATTGGAACTTTGGACTCCTCCTCCTCTTCTTCTTCTGCCTGCACCACACTGTGACAGATGTAATGTAAAACAAATTTATATTTTCAGAAATAAGGCATACTGGCATAGTAACCCAAGTTAGGTTATTTTTGACCCAACTCCTGGGTTAAAAAGAGACCAACTAATTTCTGGGTTATTTCAACCCAGATATTGGGGTTGTTCTTTGGGTTATATTAACTACAATGTTGGGTTTTTTTAACCCAACATTTGGATCAGGTATTTAACCCAGAAGTTGGGTCAAAAAGAATAACCCAATTTTCTGGGTTAAAATAACCCAGAAATTAGCTATGCAAATTAGTTGGTCCCTTTTTAACCCAGGAGTTGGGTCAAAAATAACCCATAATGGGTTATTAGTGTGTATTCTTAATATTAATTATATTGTAATATTGTTCAGAATCACTTCACATTAGAGTATTCTATTACTGATGGTGTCTTCAGTAAGATTTATTTGATCCTAGAGTGTTTGCAAAACGGTAAAACGTGTTAATGTTGATCTGTCAGTCGATCAGTTTGTCGGTCAACTACTTTGGTCTAGTCTGAAATATCTCAACAACCTTATGACGGATTTCCATGAAATTTTGTACATTCAGGGTCCCCAGAGGATGAATCCTACAGACTTTGGTGATCCCCTGACTTGACTTTTCCTCTAGCACTACCACGAGGTTCACATTGTGGTTTTAAGTGAAATATCTCAACAACAATTAGTTGGATTACCATAGAAATTGGTACAGACTGCCCCCCGCAGGATGAATTGTAAAACCTTGGTGGTCCTTTAACTTTTTAACTATCGCCGTTATCAGGTCAAAATAATAATCTAACCAATACTTTGGTTTATGACCAAATATGCCTAACTGTGTGTTTATTGCTAATTAGCAAATGATAGCATGCTAAGATGGTATCTTAAGATGGTGAACATGGTAAACAATATACTTGCTAAACATCAGCATGTTAGCATTATCATTGTGAGCATGTTAGCATGCTTACTTTAGCATTTAGCTGAAAGGTGTGCTGTGTAAGCTAAGCATTCCTGTATATTGCAGTTTTCAAAGTGATACTCATGGGTTTCTTTTTTTCATATTCATGTTATTTGTGTTGTGCTTCTTAAAGAGCCTCACCGTGTGTGTAAAGCCTAATAGAAACACTGAGAGGCAACATATTTCTTAAAGGCTCTGTAAATACGCCTGGATTATAAAAAGCATCTGTCATCATTATCACTGTCATCATCATCTGTATCACCAGTTTGTCTTTCTCACATGAGCGATAACCTGCTCTACAGTTTCAGAACACCACGTTTGTCCCTGATGTCTGAGCAGTGAAACTGACAGGGGGCCAGCTGTCTGCCTGTGTGTTTGCCTGTACTCTGCTCTCTATTACTACCACCTCCTTCTGTAATTACAAGCTCCACTGCACACAGGCTCACCATCAGGTGGGGCCAGGGCCACAAGCACAGCACCACCAGCTCTCATCATTGTTGCGTTTCAAATTCTACCCGTGTGAGAGCTGCAGGCCAACTGGAGGCTTTTTGCACATCTGAGGTGCCACAGCCTGCGGGCCAATCAGCCAGTTGGGATTAGAAAAGCAAAATTTCGCTTCGTATCATTAGAAGGTTAGTTCACCCCTCATTGGTTCACCATCTGGGCATTATTTCCTTTCCTCTCAGTGGTGTGGCTTTTCAGTAGCACTGTATCAGCACTGCACAGCCTACAGCATGGTGGATGGAAACAAAAAGAACCAATGATGGAAGGGAAAGATTTGGGCAGATGAGCACAGGGGGGTAGCAAAGGAAGTGAACCGTGACAGAAATGGGGATGGTGTAGAAAGAAGAAAAATTAAAGGAAATGGACCAAATGAATAAGGAAATATGAACATAAAAAGTAGGTTTTTGTTAGACATCTTTTGACACAATCCACTAGTTCCACACACAACCATTACAGTGACATAAGCCATGACATTGCATATGATCCCACCTGACATTAAAATGAAGCTGCTTTGCATAATATCACAAGTCAGTATAAGGTGTCACCTGACAGCTTTATGACAATTACGAATTACCTTACGAAAAGATAAATATCACCATCACAGTCACGCATTTGTCATTCCCAAAGGCGATGCAGATTTTTTTTATATTAACATTGGTTTAATCCTTACTCATTTCCACGATTCAAACTTTAACTGTTAAACCCTGCGAGACTCTAATCTCCCAGTGAGAGCCTAATAATTTATCTCGATGTGGGAGTAAAAGTCTGCATTAAGACTGCTCATTTGGGATGTTCCACAAGGGTATTTCATTTTGGAAGACAGCGGGCTAAGAAGATTATAAGCACAGTTTTCAATTTATCTATCTCACACATCCTGACTCCCTTTATTGGCTGGGACCCTCTTATCATGTTTTGCCAGGAGCTAGAGCAGCTATTGGCATCTTCCTCTGCATGTGCTACTTTGGAGTGGTGGCATTTGATGCAACACTACTGCTACTTATTTTTACCCATAGCATGCACAAGTTGATTAAAGTTGATTAAAGTTAATCAACCAAATATTGGATGGATGGAAGTTTAGAAAATGAAAATAGTGAACAAGTGTCACTTAAGGGTGCATAAGAGTTATTTATGGCGACTTTATGGAATCCAGTCATCTTTAGAGATAACTTACAGCCAAAGCAACCCATAGAGGCCTACATTATGCATCAACTGGCCCTTGAGTGATTCAGAAAGGGAGAGAGAGATGAAGAGAGAGAGAGAGAGAGAGAGAGAGAGAGAGAGAGAGAGAGAACTTGCTGATATAAAAAAAGAAGCTGCAGGAGTAAGGATATAAAACCTTGAGACAAGAGGATGCTCTTCTCTCAAACCCGCTGCCATCTCAGTGGTGGAAATGTTGGAGTTGGGGAGGGTCGACTTTGAGGTGACATTGACGCTATGTAGATGAGAGTGAGGATCCTGCGCTCAATGTTACGTCCCTGCTCGCTTCAACTCAGACGGCGGCAGCTCCTTTCCCCGTCTTCACTCCCCTCCTCTCTTTCAGCACCACTCCTTTCAGGACAGCACCTCGCTCTCAAAGACGCATTTGTCCACCAACCTCCCCCCTCAGGATCCTATATGTGTTCGCTTTCGTCGGATGCAAAGTTTTCACCTTGGTTTTAATCTAAAAGCGCAAGAAAGTAACTTTTTTTTTTTTTTTTTCGGATTTTCCCATCGGGGAAAAAATCTGGTAAATAAACGATTTTTACTGTAAGTATTATGTTAAACAGTATGCATTTTTACGTGGATTAGGGATATATTTCTGCTTGTTGACATACTTAGCGAGGGCAACCGAGGAATCTAACATATGCAGATGCGCTGAAATTGGCAATGTGCACGGATGTTCGACTCCAATTCACTTGATGGCGACGAAAGAGACTTAGCCTATCTCACGAGGAGCATTAGCGTATATGATTAAGTCGTGCAGCCACGTTTAAAATATGTCGAATGAAAATGTGTGATGTGTGTAAAAATGTAGCCTATATAATTTTTTGATTTCTTCACAAAAATCCAGATTTGTCTTTGAAAGCGCGTATCTCTTGGAAGTCAAATGGTACATGGATCTGGAATACTATCAACAGATTAATATAAAATACTTAGCCTATCATATAAAATATAAAAACATTTGTGACCCTGTTGCCTCACGTTGCTCTTGACAATTACGCACGCGAGGTGACTAAGAGCGCGCTCCGTGTTTGATTCGTCTTCATGAGCAGATGTTCATTGTGCCTTTCAAAAATTAAAAATAATTGCTAAAATTGTGTTGTTTGAAAAACGGTGTAGTTAATAGTTTGTTTTAATACTTTTATTATATTAACTGATATTTGATGAAAATGTCTACTCAAAACCTCCAAGGAGTTATTAGCTTCTCCAGTTGATTAATTCGACATTAACTTTGCGTCTGACTTCTAAATGTGTTTAATTGCTCATCTCTTGTACCGCAGCAATAGGAAGTGGGCCATTGAATTTAGAGCATAATGAATCAAGGACAAGAGCAGGCTCTAAATTTCTGCTAACATGCATTCACTCCAGGCAATTAAAAGTAATTCTTATTGCATGACAAGTCTTTATTTGATCTTGCGGGGTTCACGGATCGTGGGGCACATTTTCTCTTTCCTCCCCTGAAGAAATGCCATGCAGTCAGACTGGATGCTTGCAATAATCGTGTATACTGATATTTTTAAACGTATTTTTAATCACAGGCCAGTCAAATGCCCAACTAAATACACAATTTAGTCTCAAATTTAATATTTTTTTCCCCAGAAAACTAATTCACTTATATTTCCACTTTTATTGAATTGAAGTTCAGAATCACAGATTGTTTTTGTAATGTCTAACAATTAAGAAAGAATTACGCAAATGCGTCTGTTATTCTCAAGACCTGACATTTCGACTGCAGAAAACATTTCAACCAATAGATTTGCATGCAAGTAAAATTATCTCACCTAATTGATGTCTTCTGTCTTTTTACAAGTGTATTTTTAACTCTATACATATATTTATGCTTTCAGGGTTGTTGGACCGCGGCTCAACTGCCCCTGCTTCTGCTCTTGATTATCAATCTTATTACCCCGATTATTCGTCTCTACTCGGTGTTATCTGGGAGCTAGGTGTACAGGACGGAGAATCTGTTTACCTGGACCGGTACTGAAACCCCCTCCTCTTCACAGGTCAGGACTATCCAACACGCACAGTGACCATGGCCACCAACGGGACCAAAGCCTCGGACGGACACGTCTTAACGGAGACGGTGAATGACGCGCCCACCACCACGCCAAACGACAAACCCAAAACCTTGGTGGTGAAAGTGCAGAAGACGAAAAATGAGATACCCGAGAGAGAGACCTGGGGTGGGAAATTTGACTTTCTTCTCTCTTGTGTCGGATACGCAATCGGACTCGGAAATGTGTGGAGATTTCCTTATTTATGTGGAAAGAACGGAGGAGGTAATCAGGAATTCTTGGCATTTTTTTTTCATTCATCCATGTACCTAAAGGAGAGCAAAGATCTCGACATAAAAACCTGCCAGTTTGCCCCCGGAGGTTTTTAATTGAAAATAAATCTAAAATGTATTTCCTATCTAAGGCGTGCGTAACTGCGCACAAACGAAAGTTTGCGCAATGATCTGGGCGCAGTGTGAAACAAAATACAAATTTTTACCAGATATTTTATCTGGATTATGATGAATGTTAACAGTTCATGATTTACGTTCACTTACACGCCTTTACCTCTTACCTCTCATTCAGGGGCCTTCTTGATTCCTTACTTTTTGACCCTCATATTTGCTGGAATGCCACTGTTCTTTCTGGAGACGGCTCTTGGTCAGTACACTTCTATTGGAGGGCTTGGAGTGTGGAAGCTGGCCCCCATGTTCAAAGGTAAAAAGACCGTGACTCTACACTTTTTATGTTAAGGGCTTGCTTCGTGAAGGCCAAGTTGATTAACAGACATTGGCAAAGTCAGAAATTGGTGCTCTTTGCAATTACATAACAGTGGGCAAAGGCTTATCCTCCGTGATCTACCAAAACTTTCAAACATGCCTTACATATTATTTTTCTCCTTTTATTTCAACAAATATTTCAGCACAATTTAACATCATGCCTGTGCTCTACCATTGTTTCAGGTGTGGGTCTGGCTGCTGCTGTTTTATCCTTCTGGCTAAACATCTATTATATTGTAATCATTTCCTGGGCTATTTACTACCTGTACAACTCCTTCACTTCTGTGAGTATTTGATATTCATGTGAATGCTGTTCCCTAATCAAACAATATAATAATAGGATATGAATACCTTTTGAAAATGTAGGGGCAGGGGGACTTAAAGTGGTAGTAGTTTACTTTATTTTTACTGAAAATCTTTTCACACAAACGTCCTTTTAAATCTTCTTTGTTTGTGTGTTTCTTCTTTTTTTTTGCTCAGGTTGTATTTTTATAGTAACCCTTTAAGTTATGTGGCAGGTTCTGTTTGCCAGCACCTCTTACATAAGGGTGCGCGGCCCTTAACAGGGCATGACATTTATTACTTCCTTTCCCACATAATTAGTGCCTTACACAAGGTATTGATAAATGCTATTTGGCTATAAGGCATTTACTACGCTGAATAAAGCATGAAATCTCAATGAGTATCATGGTCTTGGCTGCTCGACAGCCAGAAATAATGGGACCCGGTTGTGGGAGAGAGGTCCATCTAAAAAGAGCTGTCTGTGTGATTTTCAAAAATCTTTCTTTCCCTTTAATTTTCAGGATCTGCCATGGCAGAGCTGTGGCAATTCCTGGAACACAGACCGCTGCTACACCAACTACAGCATTGCGGACACCAGAAACCTCACCAGCGCAGTGGTGGAGTTCTGGGAGTAAGCTAGACACAAGAGTCTGTTGAGATCGCAAGGACACTGCTCTGTTGTGAACAGATTAAAGCTTCACAGAAGGGTCATGATCCCTACTGTGCATAATGACGATCAGGGTTAGAGTCTGATATGGCCATTTGGTTCTGACCATAGTTCTAACAAGCCAATGGTTCACCAAATCCATGTATCTCCAGAAACTTCTAAAGTGGGAAATATTTTGTACGTACAATAAGGGGCCACAAACAATTCTATATAAGAACATGAATAAAACAAGTTGTATGTACACATGCATGCATACAAGCATGACTTCCCTTTACTGTGGTGCCAGAAAAAAGCTTTAGGGGTGAAAAAGAAAGCAAGGGACAGGGGTCTTTGTGAATATCCAGGCACGTGTATGCATATTTGTGTGTGCACCCATGTGTGCTGCGTGTATGAGATTAAGGATGCATTTGTGCGTTGTAGTAAGACCACTTTACTCCTTCCCTGCAGACGTAACATGCACCAGATGACCGATGGTCTGGAGAAGCCTGGGGAGGTCAGGATCCCACTGGCTATTACACTCGCCATTGCATGGGTGCTTGTCTATTTCTGTATCTGGAAGGGGGTCAGCTGGACTGGCAAAGTAAGTACAAGCAGAGGACAGAGGCAGACACAAAACAAAATGGATAGCCAAAATCCTTTCATGAATTGAATTTGCATCATCTTAAGGTCATAGAATAGGCACGACATGTTGGATTGTTATTTGAATTAAGGGATGACATATTGTCACTTAACAATGTTTCTGTCCAATTGTAATTTGTTTTACTGTAGGATGAGCTAAAATTTTAGAACTTCTAAAAGATCATGTTACATCTTGATTTCATGAGGTTTACTGTCTTATATTATAAATTAACATTTATATGAAAATCAGAACAATTGATAATAGCCTTTTTCACTCTTTATCTCTTTGTTTGCTAAGTTTACGATTGGTAGATTTGTCATTGATTTTTATACATAGCAGTTGTATCAGTGACTGTGTCTCTACTGATTCTATTCATTGTCAGCAGATTTTTATCACAAATGATCTGAATTGTGTTGACGTTGATAACACAGTGCCAAATGAGTTCAGATAAGGAGGGAAATAGTGCACCGAGAGTGTGCTGAACCCAACCATTGTGGGGTCATTTTGCCTTTGGGGAATGGCTGACTGGGTCACTGTGCTGCACTGTGCTGTGTGGATGGTGCCACAGTACTGTAACGCTGTTCATGTTAAGTTATACAACTTAGCAGTTTTCACTTCTTCTGTAGTTTTGTTGCCTTGCAGGACAAATTCCAAATAAAATAATGCTCAGTAGCAGATTGATATTAAAGTTAGTTTTGGCTTAAATAGACATCTCCTTCTTTTCTAACAATAACTTTGTCTCCCACAGGTGGTGTACTTCTCAGCCACATACCCTTACTTTATGCTGTTCATCCTGTTTTGTCGTGGTATCTCTCTACCTGGTGCAATTGATGGGATCCTCTTCTATATCACACCAGACTTTGCCAAACTTAAGGAGTCTGAGGTATGCTCTCTGCTCCCCCTGCTCTCTCACATCATTAAAGCTCAACAAGAACATGAGATGAAGCTAGACGAGGTGTGGAGAGACAATGCGAGGTCTTACTGAGTTAAGTCGATCAAGATGGGATGCAATGGAATCAGAGTGCATCAGATAGGACCAAGTGTAACAAGATAGCACTTAGGTGAACAAGTATTGTTCCCGGTTCCTGCCATTACATAAAAGGTTTACAAGAGACATGCATTTGTACACATGGCTTGATCAGCCCTGTCACAAAAGAGGTCATATCGTCAGTAAAATAAATGAATCCCGTCCAATTTCTTTATTTTATAAAAAATCTATTTAGCATCAAGTTTGCACAAGTTACATCTACACCATGTAAACCTCTTTTTCTAATGTTTGTGTGGCAGGTGTGGCTGGATGCTGCCACTCAGATCTTCTTTTCCTATGGGCTGGGATTAGGCTCTCTGATAGCTCTTGGCAGCTACAATACCTTCAATAACAATGTGTACAGGTAGGTGATTTGTTATGTTTCATGTCACATGAATGACACATGAATACCTGTGCAGATGAAATCTCACTGTCTAGCACCGGTCACTCACACATCTTTTTTAGAAGGAGACTGTGCAAATGTCTCTTGCTAGGATTATTTTTGGTTTCCTGGCAACATGGTGTCTGCTGTACCTTCTATTTTGGGACTATTTGAGCCTCCAGCTGTATCAGTCATTTCATTATTTTGGCTCTACATTTGACACTCATAGGTACAGGCGTTTGGTTTGCCTCAGCCTCTGTCACATTGTTGGATAAACACTGGTCTGCAGCCCAACTACATAAATCTTTGGTTCCAACTATTTTGAAGCAGCTTGAGCTCACTGCCATTTTATACGAACAGGTCAATATAAATGTATTCAGCTGCTGTGCTGCTGCAGGATGCAAAATGGCTCTCCACCGTCCCTTCCCCCTATGCCTCTAGACAATGTGTGACGGGTTGATAAGGAATTGATATTGGCGTGACAAAGGCTGCCTTGTGCTTTGTCTCTCCCCTACAGAGATTCTGTCATTGTCTGTTGCATCAACTCCTTCACTAGCATGTTCGCTGGCTTTGTCATCTTCTCTATTGTGGGATTTATGGCCAATGTAACAAAGAGACCCATCGCTGATGTGGCAGCCTCAGGTAATTGCAATCACCGTTGAAACTCGATAGTGACAATAGGCGCAGACAAGAGATACTTGCGAAAATTAGCCCTTGAAATTGCAAGATGTTATTCTTTCAGTCAGAAAGGGAAGGTTTTAGCTTGGCACTATATGTCAGTACTTTCTGGTTTTATTAGAAAGGACATTACTCAGTGATTTTGCTAAATACTTACTTTGACATTCAGTACTCACGTTTTTTCCTCCAAGGACACTTTGGATTTGAAATGTTTGCATTTCATCTAGTATTACAGTTACTTTCATTATAGCTGAGATTTTCTTTGTCATAATTGTACAGCTCATTTGTTGTTAGTGTCCACATCACCATGTCTTTGTCTTTTGTCAGGACCTGGCCTGGCATTTTTGGCTTATCCTGAGGCCGTCACCCAGCTGCCAGTTTCTCCTCTCTGGGCCATACTCTTTTTCTCCATGCTGCTGATGCTGGGTATTGACAGCCAGGTAAAGAAAACCCAACAGTCTCAGGTTTTTGGACCATATTCATATAGCAAATGCTGATGCTACAGCTTCTGTCAAGAAATGCTTTGACAAATAAAGGCAAAAATAAAATAAACTAATAAAAATGTTCATGTTTAAGGTCAGGACTGTATTGTTTCAGGGTGGAAACCTTCACAGTGTATCACTGCGATGTTACACTGCGTACTTTAACATAATTTAAAATTGCAATATTTGCTGTTTCTCTTTATTCGTGAAGTCAATCCTAAACCTTAGAAATTGACCAACTGTTTTTACTGTGGCAAGAGTGTTTTGACATGACTCTGCACTTTCTCTAGTTCTGCACTGTGGAAGGTTTCATCACTGCACTGGTTGATGAATTCCCTCAAGTTCTCCGAAACCGCAGAGAGATCTTCATCGCTGTCGTCTGCCTTGTTTCTTACATCATTGGACTTTCCAACATCACACAGGTAAATTTTTCTTTCTTGTTCGATAGTTTAACAGCTTTTAGAGACATTACTGGGTAGTTAGATCAAAGACATTCACAACAGCCTCCAACTGAATGAGGTTGATATCTGTTGCAATATTCAATGGTCAAAATTGAGTCTGCATTTCTCCAGTTTATCAAGTAACCACACCATTATCTCATATTTCTATTTTACATTTCTGATATTGGCATTGTCACAGGGTAATAAAACATTTCCCACAGACATGTAAGCATCCTACAGGACACCAGTGGTGTGACATCGGCAGCTGTCCCAGTAATCTGCTACATTGTTATCTCTGCTTGCCCTTACAGTGGCCCTCATTTGAAATCCAAAGAGCCTCTATGTAAAAAGGTCATGGTGTCATACTTCCTCTGAGACTGTAGTTCCTAGCCAAAGTGTTTCAGGTCATTTAGCATCATGTTTCAGTCTGCAAACATGAAACAACTTGAAACAGGTTCAAAGCCATGATTTAATTTCACTTATTTACCTGCTAGCTGCCGGACCAAAGGATGAGGACATTTGGCCGAGAGCACGATGTCTCACACCTTCCGGCCAGATTACCATGAAATTCTGTATTTTTATCAATGATGAATTTTGGGACCACCTGATATAGTATCTAGCGCCACCATCAGGCCAAAATGCACCCTTGACCGACACTTTATGTCCATGACATGGTATCACTAATGGCTATATTTTCATGAAATTTGTTGTGTATATCCATGATCCATGGAGGATGAATCTTAATGCTTTTGGTGACCCCCTGACTTTGCCTCTAGCGCCACCATCAATCCACAATTTCCATTTAATTGGGGGAAAAAATAATAAATGACATCATAAAATAGCTTGCTCATGAAATTTGCTGAGCACATTTAAATTCCTAGAGGAATAGAAACTCAGTTTTAAACATATTAAGATTCTAATTAAAAATGCTGTTTAACTACTAAATTTGTTTAGTTCATTTTGTATTAAAATACAAGTTAGAATCTTTGTTTAATTGTATTGGTCTACTGTTATCTTCCACCATTGATAGCAGCATATCTTAGCATTGATAACATGCTCAGTGAACCACATTTTAATATGATTGGTATAAATTCTAAACTTTCAGATTCAGACTACACTGAGTGCAGTATGTCAAAAACAATGTTAAGAAATGTTTTTTCCTTATCATTTTCCCACAAAATTACACAATTTAAAACAAAAAACAATAAAGGAGGGAGCAATCAGCAAAAACTTGGCAATGATGCTTTTGTGTCTGCCAAATTGCAAGCTAAAAACAACAGAATCACTGCAGGCCAAGGTCATGTTGACTAATGACACTCGAAGACCCTGCATTGTCCCTCTACTTCTGCCCAACTGGATTACCATCACACCACATGCAGAGCCCCGTTAGAATAAGGCAGCTACCCTTATCTCTGCTCTAGGCAGGATAAAATACTGAATATCAAGCTTCACAGAGTAAGAGTTGACAAACTGTAGCAGGTCTCTTTGAGCTGGTCTCCGTAACGACCTGATAGCTGCAAGAGATTGTAGACAGACTTGAAATGTTTCAAGGAGATGCTGCACTGGTCTTGTCTGTGCTGCACAGCCCCAGTTTCCAAGGAAGTCTTAGCACTGTCTCTTACTGTCCTCACCAATGAGACGTCACTAACTCTCACCAGCCAAAGCCGCTGGTGCTCTCGCCCTTGGTGTTATTCCACTTGACCGATTTAGTCCTGCACATCCAATACTATAATTGCTTCTTCGATGGTTTCCTTTTCACCTCTCTTATCATCTTCATTTCTTTTGTTCTTCTGCTTCTCTCCATTTGTAGGGTGGACTGTATGTGTTCAAGCTATTCGACTACTATTCAGCTAGTGGAATGTGCCTGCTCTTCCTGGTCTTCTTTGAGTGCATCTCTATTTCCTGGTTTTATGGTGAGCCACTCTTCTGTAATCCTCTAAATGTTGTTTTGTCTCCATCTAAACACAGGACTGCATATTTTCGTCTGTTGTTGCTAAATTATTGGAAACTAAAACCTCAAGATTTAACGTCTAAGATCCAGACTACAAACATATCTGAGATCATAAATTACGAACTGATCTATAGTCACGCAACACAAATAATTAAAAATGTATTCATTACGCTTTGGTTCCAGGTGCAAACAAATTCTATGACAACATTGAGGAAATGGTTGGCTACAGGCCCTGTCTGTGGTGGAAGGCCTGCTGGGTCGTTTTCACTCCGCTCATTGTGGCTGTAAGTGTTATCTGTGGGTAACATGGATGGATTTATCTAACAATGTTCCAGACACCAACAGGGAAAGTAACACCCCATCATGGACATTGTTTAGGCTCATAAGGTCTCAGGTGAAGCTATGTATTGAGAATGATTGCTATAAGCCTTATATACAGTAATACTTCAGATTAGGCTAACCTAGAATTTAATTGCATTCACACTGTCTCTGACCATGATGCATGAAGTTGCTGAGATCTATTTTCTTGTCCGTCTTGTCCAGGGAGTCTTCTTGTTCAGTGCAGTGCAGATGGTTCCCCTCACCATGGGTGACTATGTGTTCCCAGCCTGGGGCCAGGGGGTTGGCTGGTGCATGGCCCTCTCCTCCATGACCCTCATCCCAGGCTACATGGGCTACATGTTCCTCACACTCAAAGGCACATATAAAGAGGTAATAAGATCAATATTGGTTCAGTCTAATAGTAATGAATACTTGCACTACACTACACACAGTTAATAATTTTTTCTTACAAAGAACGCATGTGGAGTTACAAAGTGCTTATAAGAAAAAGTACACATTAACTGCAAATGCAAATTAAATCTAAATACTGTATGATCTATATACAAACACTTAAGGAATTGTTACATCTAAATGTAGGTAAATTAGTATATAAATACCAAGATTTCCCCAGAACAAATGCATCACTGTACCCAGCACTGAACTCTGCACACATTTATTAGCTATTTTGAATTTTAATCTGCAGTCGACAGCAAGGCAGACTCTTAACTCTGTTAAGAGTTTCAAGTCGATTACTCGGTATGCTAGATTTTTAGCTCAAACATATTAAAACGCACTGCATGATAGACAAATCCAACACAGTAGTGTTTTCACTACTGTGGTCCCTGTTTTGTAAGAATAATGTAATGTAAATGCGACAAACAAGCCCTGAGGATTTTACAGGGGAGATCTGTTTTAACCATGGAGGGCAGCTTGAACGAAGATTTAAGGTCACCCTGTAGATATTTACCGACAGTCTGGCTCAAGTATGTTTACCAGAATATCCTCATTCGAGGATTTATATAATCTTTACTTACTTTTTACAACACTTACATAATGGCACTTACATAACGTAGTACCTGAAATGTAATTTTGCAGCAAAGAGACTCTTATCACTGGATATAAAATGCTCAGCTTAGCCCAGTGTGGTTTTCCTCTGTGCATTATAACGGTACTGTGATTAAATGCTTTTGTAATGAGCAAGCACATAGGCATACTGGGTAAAGAAGTAATAAATTGCCATGATGAGTAGAACAGTGATAAAAGGATTAGTAAAAGAGTTTCTAATTAGTTCTGTTAACAATTTTTTTGCTGTACCAGCCACTGAGATCTCACTAAATTATACCCATTTGTATGCAGCAGAATGGTACACTGCACATTTATTGATCTGATGATCCTAATCAATGGCAGATAATACCTTTTCCAGCATGCCATTTACATTTACTGTTACTACCATATAGCTTTATAGCCACCACTGACAGAATAAATGGGCCATAATTGCAGGCAGTGCAACAGAGGCTGTCAGAGGCGATGTGCAGGTGTCAGATCCTGCAGTACCAGCTGATGGCTGATTGTCAAATTGTAGCAATCAGCCAGCTGATTAGTGCTCTGCACCCAGGCGGACCCTTAGTTTCACAAACACTCCATATAAATGCCTACTGTGCAGCAGATCCCAGTAGACTACCCAGAGTTCAGAACATTTGGAAGAAGGACCAACTTTGAGATGGTTTGATTTAGTTTCGTGGCTTATTTGTTATTGCCATGACTATCGGCTTTTATTTTTCTTTACCAGCCATATCTTAGGCTGTATTAATTTATATAACCATATATCACATCTGGGAAAATTCTTTTCTGAGAGTATCTTGTAGAAAGTTTACTCTCAGAGCCTGAGGCTGTACATACATAATGCTCACAGCTGTGTAGCTGGTGTGTTTTGTTACAGCTTATGGGTTTGATCATAAACTTTGCAGCTGTTTGGTCCCTACTAATGGTGTGTCTCATTGTAATTTCGACACCATCAGTGTATTTTTCAGCTGTGTGATATCAGCGGTATTACTGCTCCTCTCTGTGCTTCTCCCTTTCAGCGTCTGCGGATGATGATCAAGCCTGTCGTACTGGTGAAGGCTCAGGAAAATGGCCCTGACCAGCAGACAGAAAACCAGAGTCAGAACCCTGCCAACGAGGAAGCTTACATCTAGAAACTTCTGCCTGTCTCTGACTCGACGGCCAGACTGGCAATCTACATAGAAGGAAACGTAATCAAGGTTGGGAACGACCACCAGACTTCCATGTCTGCTTTTATTCACCTACCTCCTGGGGACACGTGAGACCAACCTGATTACACAGTTATTTTTAGGGGGTTTTCTGTTTTGTTTATTTGTATAATACAGAGTTATAAAACTTATGAGGAAAAACAAACTACCCAGCAAAATTGTTGTGATATCATGGATTTCATTATGCAAAAAAGTTAGTCTTCTTAGAAAAGCAAATGTGACTTAGGAAATTACTGTATATTGAATATATAATTTAAATTTGGAGGCCCACGTTGATTCAATAGTATTGTGCTACTGAAGATATTAATTATTCTACTAAACTACAATTACTGTACAAAGAAAAAATATTGGTTAATTTTGCTTGTACATGAAATAAATACATTAAAATGAATGCAGTGTATTAGGTGAAAAAAATGCAATTTGAAAGTTTGTAAAGTGAAAATTGAATATTGACCAATTTAAGGCAATGACAATATGGGGATGTGCAACAGGTAAGGCCAAATCTGCTTGTATGTGTACAATATAATTTAGACAGACTATCACTCCCTTGGAGGATCCTGCAGTTCCTCTATGATGTTTACCACCCATGTCTGGGGCTACCTTTGAAAAGCACAAGCACAGTATGGAATTTTGAACCGTCACACTTTTTTTTGGCTCAATTGAAAATTGTGACAACAGCAAAAATAACTTACATAGGATACATAGCAAGAGACTGTTATAATTGTTTCTTTGTTTTCTAAAGAACAATAACTTTGTATGTTGTCTGAATCTTTTTTGTAGAATCATTTTTAGGTCATTTTCTATATGTGAGAGTGAGAAGGACCAAAATCTAAACTCAAGTTTGAAAGATTGGTACAGAATTTTAACCCGCTGGCTGTATATGGATTAACTCAAGCATCCCTTTTTGTCTCTCTAAAGAGAAACTGGGTACAGTAGTGGAGACAACATCCGCCTACAAGCACAATTTGGATCTGTAAACTACCACCTCTAAAAATGTAGGTGTAGCCAATACAGAAATCCCACATTTGCACTGTGCGTACAATATTTCTGCCTGACATTATTTGGAAAATGTAGATTTTGACAACCAGTTAAGTGTAAAGACAGAGTTGGGTTGCAATAAGCCAATGCTAATTCTGATCTATATTTGAAACTGTGAGAATGAATAGTTACCACTATTCTGACTGGAGCCGTTTACTTGTATATCTATTTAGTAACCCACTTCTCAGGAACAAAGGTGGACGTGACCAAATTCTCTCAGATACTACCATTATACACTGAAACAATTAATGATGTATTTTTTTAAAAATCAGCCATTTTCTCAATTCAATTAATCCAACATGCTACCTTAAACAGCAACAAAACATGAACACACAAATCAGTATAAAGACTACATATACGTACTCGGGCACCCTCGAAAGCTGATCCAAATTGTTTCCTATTTTCTATGTGCTATTCAGTTTCAATAATTTCTTTCAGTGTAAATGAACTGTGATGGCGTTCACTCAGTCATTTTAGTAGGAGCCATAGTGTGTTTCTATCCTGTGGCGAGTGCAGATTTCAGATAGCAGACTAGGAGAGAGAAACTTTGGCTTAGTCAGAGAACAAAGCCAGAAAAAGCACTGTTAATACACGAGGATATAGCCAGATGCTATATAGGCCAACACCACTAAAACTACTCCTTTTCATAGAGTAAAAAAAACCTATTATTACATATCAAGTTTGCTTGGCAATATCAAAAACATATGTAGAAGCTGACTTTGTGACAGACCACTGACATCACTGTATTACTATGAAGGAGGATAAAGAAAATGTGCTTCTGTGGCAGCTACATGCGACAGGAATCAGGCTGAATCAGTCCCGTTTATTTTCTTTTACTTAAATATATTTTTTTAAAGATATGTGCATTAAAACGTGCAATGACAAAGGGTTCCGTAAATTTTGTATAAAGTTACCATACTGCAGTTTTCTCTCTTGAATGATGTTGTAAACTGGACTGTGTAATACATGTGTCTGTGAATGTCTGTACAACCTGAGTTTTTCTTTTCTTTTGTCTAAATGTTGAACAAAAAAATGTGATATTATTTGCTGTTTTCTGCAATAATATTATTATCTCAGAAACTAAAGCACATATCTCTCTCAACTGTAAAAATTATCATTACAATAACAGAATAGAGTAATAATAAAGATGATATGATGATAATAATAAATAATAATAATAATAATGTAATAGAAATGTCTAGTCAGAGAATATTGTTTTGTATATTTCTAGCTGTTTCATGGGCCTAATGTAAAATATTCTATGTAAAAAAAATATATAATAAATGTCTTTAGATGGTGTTATATGAAAAAGCATGATTGCAATATATGTTCTCTGCAAAAATAAATAAAGACCTATAGATTATAATGTCTGTGTCATGTAATCTTTCTGTTGGGTGTGCTGACAAGATATGTGTCTAATTGGTTTTAGATGCATAAAAAATATTTTTTACAAGCCAATGGTGAATAGATATAATAGGTTAATTATAGAAAGTACAAATACCGTTTTTATTTGTTAACTGGATGTGACTCTATGAATAGCTACATGTGCTGACTTAAAAGGTATTGAAATGCTCTTCAAATATGCTTGCTACATTGTTGAATGAGTTGGTTTAACATGACATTGACCTGCTAAGTGTTATGCTAATGTTAATCGACTTATTGCATAAGTGGAAATGAATATGCCCTCCGCAAGAGATGTTCTCTGTAAACTTAGCTGATAGTTTCTGACAAAACAGTTCTTGCCACAGCAATACCCCTGTAACACCTGCACTGAGAGCTGTGCCAGCACAGACACTACGGCTATCCTGGCTGACAGCCAATCCCTCCCAGTCACAATGCACCATCCATCCCACTGCACTTTTATGCAGTGGTTAGCCTACATTTGTTTTAATCCAAAAAGCCACCAAATAATCACAATATGCACAGTGAGAAAGAAGTACAGAATGTGTAGACATCTTTATTTTAAAGAATTTATCAAAACATTTAAAATCCTAGCATTGTACATACATTTCTTTAAATAACATAACATGTCTGGATTACTTATTTGTACAGTTGTCAGCGGGAAGCACAGTAATCTCAAAATATGCAGTGCTCTGTTTTTCTCAACATAAATCTCGTTTGTCTCTTTTATGTAACATTAGTTAACACATTAATTAACACACACTAATGAAATATTTTAATTCTTGTTTTTGTCTTATCAGTCCACAAGAAGGTAATTTTTCCTCCAATAATTCTAGAGGCTTGAATATATATGTTTTTTTAGCACATTTGATAGAGCAATATTGTAGTTTCTTTACAGATTTACTTTGCCTCACTGTATGACCTTTTGAACTGGGGTGTCTTCTAAGATATCTCTTTATCCAGCTACAATTGCAGTGCACAACACACGAGGAACAGACATGAATGTGTGATGTGAATGCATTATATATATAGAGAAGGTATCTGGTGATAAAGCTCTGACCTTGTCACTCCCCAAAAGGATACGCCAAGCTAAAAACAACAGAGATTGGGGAGTGACAATAATAGCAGCCCCACCCAGGAAATCTACAGTAAGCTTCAAATGAATTAAGTGCTTGTTAAGACTTGAAACACTTAACACAGATGAAAACACTTTCATTCTCATTTTGGTTCATTCATTACACCAAGTTTGCTGTTGTGCTCATTTTTACAATTTTTTACAACAAGACTACAAAGACATGCAAAAGACACATAAGTCTTGGAGGAGACAGTGGGAAGAAGCCAGGAGGAGATGAAAAAAATAGATCAGGCCAAAATGAGTGGAGTAACTGGAGGGGAAAAGACTGTACCAGTTCATCCAGCTGTCCTTGCTGTGCCCCTTCCCTCTGACAGCAGGCCTTTCCCCCACCTTTGATTGTGGCCATTTGGAACAGGTATAAAAAGGTTTGCCTTTAGATGTGGTCAAACATTTCATATTACCTTCTTCATTTGAAGCATACTGACGCCGTTATACTCAGACCACACAGTGACTGCTACAGTGGAGTTTTGAGGTGACCAGCGCAGCAGCAGACAAAAGACAAATCAAATGTCTGAGCAGAGAACTGACTTGCTTAAATAAATACTCTAATGCAGGAAGCGGTGGATATATAAAGCAAGTATTGTGTGCAGACTCCAGTTTTCTTTCTGAACTAGCACAGGCTTTGTGCCGTTTCAGTCAGCCCAATGATGTCGAACAGATAATTATGTGAATGCAGAATATGTAGAGAGTTTATAATTGGTATCTTGGCTCTGACATCATCATTCGTTGCAAGCATGTACAAGCTCAGCAAAGCAAAGATTGAGAAGTGACCATAATAACATCCCTCCAAAAACTGCAGTAGACACAGAGCCCAACATCAATATATGCATATATTATGTGGACTCCTTTATATGTGTGCTGGCGGCTCAGCTGTTGCAGCCATTTCCCTGAATAACACCTCAGTTCAAATATCTAGTGAGCACTGGTGCTGGTACCTGGCTTAGTTGTACACATCAGCCAGGCACCAGCCACTGTATGGCTGTTCTCTTGCTGGTACCTCAGAAAAGGAGGGGAAGATGTATCCTACGATCTGAGATGAAAAAAAGGTAAACCTAGCTATTAAGTCCAAGGCATCAGGTTTTCATAGGTGATTTTGATCATGTGAAATACTGCTACTTTCAACAAATAACCCCCTAAACAAATACGGTTTTTACCATGTTTCTGAGTGTCCTCCTTGAAGGAAATATACCAAAAAGTGGGAATGTTTAAATTTAAAGGTGTGTCTGTTTGTTTGTGCTTGTGTGTGTGAGGGTGAGATAGAGAAATTTAGAAAGTGAGAAAGAGAGTGATTATATACATGGTCGGACACACCCTCAGTGGTACTCTAGTGGTAATGACTTGAGCACGTGTGAGTGTGTGTGTGTGTGTGTGTGCATACATGCGTGTCATTATGAGTATGCATATATATATATATATATAAGTCTTTGTCTGCTCATCTGAGCATATGGCAGTAGTAGAAGTGTTAGCTGTGGTTATGACACAGAAATGAGCGGAGCAGCTCTGACAGCTCCAGTCTAGCAGAGGTAGTAGCAACTCAGAAGTCAGCTCTGGGGCCCCAACAATACACACAGTGTGGAAATGCTAATCTGTTTTCCTTTCATGCTAGCTTGGCCAAAGCTCCCAGTAGCATGAACACTCTCCAATCGCATCATAATCATTGGGTGCTGAAATGCGCAGTACGATGGGACCAAAAAGAAAAAGAAATAACACTCTATTTACTCTTCTAATAGCCGCAAGGCTGTATTTTTCCAGAGTTGTTTCATGTGAAAGATGCAGTGCGGTTATGCAATTGACTACGCAATAGGAGACAGCACATAATATTAGATGGGTATATTAATGGGAGTTTTGGGGAAGAAAACTCAGTCAGTCCTTTCCCTGTTATTGGAGTTGATATCAAGATTTCACTGTTCGTTCCCCATTTTCCAACCATCAATGTTGGTGTGACCACCATCAAGTCAAGTCAAGTCAAGCTCTATTGTCATTCTTCCGCAAAGTATGCAGCTGAATGAAATGTTGTTTCTTACGTACCAAGGTGCATAAACAATGCAAGAATTAACAATAACAAATCACAACACTCTACAATAGGCAGAGTAACACACCCGATTCACACTCTATACAGTAAACCGTAACAATACACAGTAAATGTTAACAATACACAGTAAGCAGAAAACAGTGCAAATCACCAGTAGATAGATAAAGTGTAATAGACAGTAGGTAGTGCAACTGACTTGAGCAGAAGCCAATAAGGTGTCAGTGCACACATTTTACTACTCATTGTCCATTTAAAGTGACAGTGCACAGTCCTTGTGTGTTTTTGAGTCCTTTTTTATTTGGGGGGTAGATGATTATGGGGGTGAGATGTTGGGTGGCTCCAGGGTATTCAGGACTCCGACAGCTTGGGGGAAGATCCTATTGCAGAACCTTGCAGCACTGGTCCTGATGCTGCAGAACCTCCTGCATGATGGTTGAGGGACAAACACACTGTGTGAGGGGTACTTTACAGTAGCAGAGGCTCTGCATTCACAGCGTGCCAGGAAGATGTCTTGGATGGGGGGAGGTGTCCTCACTATGTGCTGCAGGGACTTGCATTTGATTGTTTTGCAATTCCCATACCAGTGATGCAGCCAGTCTGGATGCTCTAAATTGTTCCTCTGTAGAAGGTAGTGAGAATGGGTGGTGGGAGACTGGCTCTCTTCAGTCTCCACAGGAAATACAGGCTTTGTTGT